AAGGGGCCCATACTTCGGATCCCTATAAACCATGGTAAGACCTGAGATGCAGCCAGGTTACAGGTCGATCATGCCGGAGGCACCAGGCTTCCGAAAGCGACAGCCGCTCTATGAGGCCACAAAGGGCCAGTTAAACCCTAAACCCTAAGCCCTCAACCCTCAACCCCAAACCCTAAACCCTTGGGGCCTGAATGTAGGGTTTCGTCTCAGGGTAGTTTCTTGGGCCCGTAACATGGTCCCCTACCTCCTTTAACGGGTTCTGAGGTACCTAGACCCTAAACCAATTGGGTTTAGGGAAAAGGGTAACTGCCCAAAGATGTCGGGCTTAGGGGTCACTGAGCAAGCCCGTAACCCCCGAAAAGAACAAGCCTACGGTGCAGGTCTGGCTTGAGATCCCCCCCCTGTATTGGTTTAGGTTTAGGGTTTAAGGTTTAGGGTTTAGGGTTTAGGGTTTAGGGTTTAGGGTATTTGCGAAGGCTCCATGGGGTGTATACAGGGAGGGCCCCCCCCCCCCCCCCCTAAAGACCATAAGCTTAGTTGTAGTGGACATAACGCAAGTGCTAATTCTTATGTAAAGCAGTGTGCGAGTTTACCCCTAAACCCTAAACCCTACACCCTAAACGTTACAAATTTGCATCGGCTACAACTGCAAACCTGCCAGGCCTACCACAAGCTGAACCACTACTGCCTCTTTCAGGAGAGCCGCTACCTTTCGAGTGCCGAAGCCCTCTTGAAGAAGCTGCTCTGAGGAGAAAAAAAATGTGTTTCCCAGAGGCTCCGAGAAGCCCCAAATCCTATGAACCCCAACATCCCTGAAGCCTAAACCCCTAAAACCCTGAACCCAAAAACCCTGGACCCCTACGAAAGGCAGACCCCAGAACCCTAAACCCTAAGCCCTGAACGAGGGAATCTTAGGGAATAACTTCACTTGAATTAGGATTGGGATGTGCGTTCCCAAAATCGGTGTGCCCTTTTCGGGCGTTCCTTGGACAAAAAGAAGAAGGTGATATCTTGGGGTGTACAGTAGGTTGCGGGTGCCTTGTTTTTTGTGAAGGGCGGGGGGTGGGTGAATGCCCAAGTTTTTGATTCGTGGAGTAGGTTCTACATCTTAGGGAGCACATATAATTACTCCCTATTCTCTACTTGGGCCGGAAGTCTCAACCCTAGACCCCAAACCCTACATTATATATGGCATATTCCCATAGGTTCACCCGAAACCCGTAAGCCCCTAAAACCCGTAAACCCTGAAACCCCAAAACCCTAAACCCGGTATGACCGATGGAGGGTTCCCTAAGTCATACTGGGAGTCTTTCTTACTGGTTCCTGGTAGCGACTGCAGCAAGTAGGTACCCTGCAATCCCTCAAAAAGGGGTTGTAGGGGGGTAGTACTGTAGGGTACCTATCCTTATTCCCCCTAAACTCCGAACCCTGTTAAGAACCGGTTGCTCTTTGATCCTGCCTTGCGCGGTTCTGCCTGTTGGAGACGGAACCCTGCAAGCTCTGAGATTGTTTGGAGCTTTTGGGTGTTTAGGGCTTTTCGGGTTTAGGGTTTAGGGCTTTTCGGGTTTAGGGTTTAGGGCTTTAGGGTTTAGGGTTTTGGTGTTTTGTTTCATGCGTTTTGGGGTTAAGGGTTTAGGAACCCAAGAATACCCCAACACCACAACTCACAGGTCCCAAGTTCACGAACCCCAGGCCTGAGCTCAAAAGCCTCACTTCGTGGGCTTCGTGGGATCTTGTTGTGCATTCTTACTGTTGAGGTTCTAACGCCCCTAACCAAGGTTGGCAGAGTAAGGGGGCCCTAAACCCTAAACCCTAAACCCTAAACCCTAAGGACCCCTACTTACAGGTGCTTGTGTCGCTCCTGTTGTCAGGTGATTGAATACCGCCACCGCGAGGCGAACCTGAGGCCAAGCATTTCTTGCAGGCTTAGGGCTGATTGTAGGGTTTAGGGTTTGGGGTTTAGGGTTTGGGGTTTAGGGTTTAGGGTTTAGGGCTACATGTAGGCCCCCCCCCCAGAAACAATATGGTTAAAAGGGCCCCTAATTGGGTTATAAGTACTATTTTTTCCTGGTTATAATGCCCTTAACTAAAGTTGGTACAGTAAAGGGGGCCCCTACTTGTAGGGCTTCGGATTTATGGTTTACGGTTTGGAGTTAGTGCTGCTTGTTTGAGGTTCTGAGTTGTGACTTGTTCTTTGTTGCGCATCTTCTTGACAGCTTACCCTTGCCGCGGGTTAAGGCGATATAAACCCTCTAAACCCTAAGCCCCCTAACCCTAAGCCCCTAACCCCAAACCAAAAACCCTCTAAACCCTGAACCCGACGCCTTCAGCCCTAAATCCTAAGCCGACAGATCCGCAATGGTGACCAAGAGCTAGATTCATTTGAAACTGAAGAAAGCCTCTCAACCCTAGACCATAAACCCCTCAATTTCGGGGGCTGAGGGGGTTTAGGATGTTAAGGGTCGGGGTTTTAGGGGGTTTAGTGTATTAAATCCCCCCCCCATGTACTGGTAAGATCACTATAATGGGAGTATTTAAATGTCAGGGAGTAGGGGGGAGGGGTTAACCCTAAACCCTAAACCCAAAACTCTTTTAAGGTTGAAGGGGAGGGGATAAGGGTTGGAGTCGGGCCTCATTTTCGAGGGGCCCGGCATCGAGTTGTTCCCCAACAATCCACATCAATCCACGCTGCGCCACGTATCAAACATACCAGATAGGGTTTAGGTTTAGGGTTTAGGGTTTAGGTTTAGGGTTTAGGGTTTAGAGTTTAGGGTTTAGGGTTTAGGGGCTATATAACCTACTGATTCTTAGGAGGGGAATGAGGGAATTAGGTGCCCTATATCCCCAGTATATAAACCCTTCAAGGGATTTTGCAGGGTACCTCATTCTCTCATTCCCGACGAACAACCAGTCGGATAAGCCCTAGACCCTATAAGGCCTAAACCTCCCACTACAGACCCTTAACTCTGAACTCCATGCCACGCTAAAGCCTGAACCCCAGCCCTAAACCCTAAACCCAAGCCCTAAACCCTAAACCCTAAACCCTAAACCCTAAACCGTTAGGATGTAACGCAGGTCAGAGGAGCAGGTGATTCGGGAGCGGCTGGAAGAGACGGCGGCGCAGCTGACTGCCCGGGGCCCTTCCACTCTGGGATTGCAGCTTTAAGGTCCACAAGCCTGGGGTTTAGGGTTTGGGTTTAGGGCTAGGGTTTAGAGTTTAGGGTTTAGGGTTTAGGGTTTAGGGGTTTATGGCTGAGGCTTTGGGGTTTAATTATGTTTTCTGTGATTTTGGGAAGGGCTGGCTTGGCTGCCCTATGCCCTGAACCCTGAAAACCTGAAGCGGGAGATGAGACTGCACAACCTCCGGCAGAATTGGCGTCTTCACCAGCTGCAGCTCATCGCCAGGCGCAGGAGATGCTTTGCCATCGCTCGGAACAAGATTTAGGGTTTAGGGTTTAGGGTTTAGGGAGTTGCTCAGAATGGCAGACAATGTCAACTGCGAGGAGCTGAGGGCTCTTCTTGTAAGTGTCATGCTCGGAGTATTCGTGCCGCCGGCTTGGCTTGCCGTGTTTAGGGTTTAGGGTTTAGGGGTTTAGGCTTGCAACTCCTTGAAACCAAAAAGGGCACTCGTTTTCTTCCTAGGCTGCTCTTGGGCCGAGCTTCTGAGGCGTTGAGAACGCAACCAAACCCTGTAGAGAACTGACGTCTCCTGGTCTCTGTGCTTTCTGCACTGCGCGAATAGGGAGTGGGGGGGGGGGGTTTGGGGGGAATCTAAGGTGGGCTTCGGGGTTAAGGTTCAGGGTTTATAGGGTTTAGGGTTTATAGGGTTTAGGGTTTAGGGGGTTTAGGGTCCTTGTCTTAAAGCAATGGCCCAGGCGAAAGTGCGGGACTTGGCCTCTGCTGAAGCGGAGCTCAAGCGTGCGGAGCAGGACATGGGTCCCAGGGTTTTTTTTGTTGGCGTTGCTTCAGAGTAACTATAGGGCTTCTAAAAAAGGGTTTAGGGTTTAGGGTTTGGGGTTCAAGGGTGGTATAGAACGTAAGGTTCCTTACTAATGCTCCATACTACTCCCTAAGGCTCCCTAAGGTTCCCATAAGGTTTTCTACGTACCTACCCCCATGAACCCCCCTCCCTCAAGAACCCTATCAAGTTAGCTCCGGGGCCCGCAAAGTTAGGCCTTAAGTTTAGGGTTTGTGTTTTGGGCCTGAACCCTAAGTCCCTAAGCCCCCAAGGCCTGAACCCTGAACCCTAAACTCTAAACCCTAAGCCCTGACCTCGTACCTTTTTTGGGTTTGGGAGTTTAATTTTCGGGTGCAGGGTCTACTTTTCTCCTTTAAGTCCTAAACCCTAAGCCCTTCAGTAAACCCTTTTGGTGGGTTAGGCTCCGTTGATAAACCCCTTTAAGCAAGAAGTAACGCCCTTTGTAAGCCTTGGTTGCTGGGCAACCTAGGCCTAAGTTGAATGACCATAGTAAGGAAGCGAATATATGCTCCTTAGCAGCAAGTTCTCAGATCAGATGTTTAGGTTCATGCTCAGCTGCAGTAGAACTAGCCCCAAAACGCATTGGACTGTCGCGCAAATGCAGAAGCCTAGATAGTTACACGCCTTCAGGGTTTCGGGTTCTTACTATCGATGAAGTTGTAAGTCACACGACGAGCCACGCCACCTCTTAATAGATAGGCCTCCTTGAACCCTAAACCCTAAACCCTAAACCCTTAACCTTCAACCCTAAACCCTAAACCCTCAACCTGAAACCCTGAAGCCCTTCAGCCTGCACCCCAGGCGGCGGGTCATGCTTTCCTCAAGCCTCCGGGCACCTCATCTCAAATCCCTCAACCCGAAGCCCCCAGTGCACCACTGAAGGGCTTAGGCTTAAGGACCTAAAGCCCTAGAAGCCCCTAAACCCTTAACCCTAAACCCTAAACCCTAAACCCCAAACCCCAAACCCTAAACTCTACCCCCCCCAGTACAAGCCTCAGCCCCTTAAGCCCGTCCAAACCCTAAAACCCATTAAGCCCTAAAGCTCTACACCCCTCCAACCTCAGCGTCGGCACGCGGCTCTTGCAGATGTTAGTGTTCAGCTCAAAACTATCCCTAAACCCTAAACCCTAAAACCCTAAAACCCTAAAACCCTACAACCCTAAAAACCCTAAACCCTAAACCCTAAACCCTAAACCCTAAACCCTAAACCCTAAACCCTAAACCCTAAACCTGAGGGGTTTGGTGCTCGGGTTGAGGGGCTAGTTCTCACCTAGCTCAGAGCGTCAAAGCCATATCCCACACTCCGAACCCTCGCTGCCCAATTCCCCATTTAGGATTTAGGGTTTAGGGTTTAGGGTTTAGGGTTTAGGGTTTAGGATTTAGGGTTTAGGGTATAGGGTTCAGGGTTCAGGATTTAGGGTTTAGGGTTTAGGATTTAGGGTTTAGGGTGTAGGGTTCCTGGGCCCACACAGCCCTGTTAGGGTTTAGGGTTTAAAGGTGTAGGGCCTTGAGCACCACAGCCAATGCTGCTGTAGAAACCCTTAAACCCTAAACCCTGAACCCTGAACCCTAAACCCTAAACCCTAAACCCTAAACCCTAAACCCTAAACCCTAAACCCTAAACCCTAAACCCTAAACCCTAAACCCTAAACCCTAAACCCTAAACCCAGCCCGCATGGAGCCTGCATCCGGACATCAACCGGCACCCAGCCGTCCTCCTCCCAGCACCAGATGGGGACTCAGGGCTCGAGGTTCTTTTTTGGGGGGGT